GCCAGGCTTGTTACAAGTGTGGCGAAATTGGACACTTCAAGAGGGACTGTCCAATAACAAGGAACTCCAGTGAGGATGGAAGAGTGTTGATGATCACCGCAGGAGAGACTCTTCTGGAACCACCTGTGGACAGCGGTACGTTTCCCAAATGAAAATAAGTTAAAACTTAAAATTTTTACGAAAATTTTTACCAACTAAATCTTAAGCATATTATGAAATTTCATCACTATCCATCGAAACACTCTTATTGTTAGTACTCGCTAAATGTGGTACCAAATGTTCGCGGTAGTAATAACAAGGATAAAACTTAAAGCACTAGAAACGTAAGCATAAGAATGCACTATCACTCTAACAAACATCCCTTCCGAATAAGACTTAACGCCAATTAAAATAACAAGTTCCGACGTCGTCATTCGACATGGATTGGTGTGGTCTTCACCACATCAATCGCAGGTAATACGAAAAGATCCTTCGCCTTAACCGACCGATTTACGAAACCCTCGTCACTCATAACGACAAACCCGACACAAACCTTCGACTCGTCTCTTGCTTCAAAACCCAGAAGTACTCATGCGAGGAGTACTATATCTTCTGAAACCCTCCCGAAGTGTTCCCAACAGACCTTTCGGGAATACCACTCGAGCAGCAAGACAAGTTCAAGCACAGAGGCTAAGGACAAATACGGTTAACCAGTCACCACCAAGTGTATACGCGAGAGTGGTATATAATTAAGATTCTACGGGCTTAGGATGTGTATTTCCGCCTTCCCTCCTGTTCCTTGTCTGGTTGTGGAATTAAGACAGAGTTACTCATCCGACCGCCCTATTAATCTTAATTGTATTCGACTTGTATACGCGAGGCAATGATTGAAGAACCAGGTAGGAGTCCTACTATGAACTCCAGGAAAAAGTTTCCCAGGTCTATAGGTAGACATCCTACCATTCGGACGAACGTAGACAAGTAAACCCAAACCCACACACTCCTCACGAATCAAAACAGTAGACGCAATAGTGAAGATCTGCTGGAATGCCAAGCGAGGATCGGAATTCACCTAAGATCAAGAAGATCAGATGAAACAATATATATATATATATATATATATATATATATATATATATATATATATATATATATATACCCACATCTTTTCCCCAACCCTTGAAGTCCCATTTGAAATGCTAATTTCGGGACGAAATTCCTTCTAACGAGGGATGATGTGACAACCGTCAATTTCTGGTCAAGTCAAATTCAAAAAAAGTCAACGGGTCAAACCAGTCCACTCAACTAACTCTTTTAGGTCAGGGTTTACTCTAAAAATTCTAGTGAAAAATAAATTCTCTATCTTAATACAAAGTATCATTTAGAGGTTTCATATGTTCAGGAAATCTAAACCCTAGGCAGGGAAAGTGGTGTAGCGACTTGATAAAGCACTATTACATCCCCTTAGGGGGCATATAACACTCATAACGAGGCATAATGGGGTTTACAAACCTTGTATTACGAGGCTAAACACTAGCAAAGGTCACAAACAAAGTCTCTCTCAATCTCTCTTGCTCTATATATATATATCTCTCTCTCTCCCCCAAATCTCTCCCAAACACTCTTTCAACTTTTTATGAACACCCGGGGCATCCCGACCCTTAACTTAATCAAAAACCACTCGTAACGGGAAGATGTTATGAAAAACAGCAAAGTTGGGCCGAAACCACTTAGGACCGAAACCACTTAGACCGAACCCTCCTTAAAACCGAAAAACCCTTCGGTCTGAGATACCCTTTTTTCGGTCCAGCCTACCTTCAGCTCAACCTACCTTCGGTTCTCAGCCTCATGGACCGAGACCTTCGCTTCTGACCTTCGGAACTTTGCAGGTTCGCCTCTTTTTCCCGGTTTTCGACCACTTTCGCTTCTTAAGCTTGTTTTTGATGATTTTGACGGGGTATTTTCACCCAAACTCATATTTTAACATATTAGACCCCATAGATTCATATTCTAATCATATTTTGGGACATCCTAATTATAGATAATATCTTTTGTACAAGATATTATCTAAGGGGTTGGTTGACTTTTCCAAGAAACTATGACACCATTCCCACTTTATGTCACTATTCACACTTTACCTAGTCAAATCATTGTCCCTCCTACACTTTCCCAACACTCCATCAGATTCTCTTACACCAAATCCACCTAAAAGATTTATATCTCACACACTTCCCAAAAGATTCATTACCACACTCTTCAATCAAATATCCTTTCTCTCTCTCTCTCTCTCTCTCTCTCTCTCTCTCTCTCTCTCTCTCTCTTTCTTCTTATTTGCTCTCTCTGGAAATAAGAACTCCAGGAAGTCACGAGCTCTTCCCCATTTTAGGTAAGTTCTTCATTTCCACTCTTGAATATTCTACACTCCTTCACTCAAATCATGGATTCCTCATACAAATATCGTCATATTTGTTCTTAGTATCTTCAAATCCTCAAGCACTCTCCAAGTGTTCTTGACTTGGAAACCTCTCTTCTTCAACATCCATCTCAGGGAAATCACTCAATGTGAGTTCATACCCCTATCTTTTCATGGTTTCTTCAAGCTTTAAGGTGGAGAATACAAGTTACAACTCCAAAACACACTCTAATACAACCAACATCTTTCAACAGAAAAGTTATGGTTCATTCTCGAACTGTTTTGACCAACTTAAAATTAATATTTTTCAAAACTGTTTAAAAAGAAAATAGTTCAGGTTTATACCTTTCTAATGATTACTTGCAAACGTTCATACGATTTTTCTACAATTTATGGCGGTTTTTACAAGACAGCCTATCATTTCTGAGATGATTTCGGACCAGTCTGTGAAGATGGACATATTCACACTGGTTAGAGACCTCCAAAATTCATGACAAAAACTATGAACAAACTAGACACAATTAACTCTCAGAGTTTACGGATTTAGTTTTCAACTTAAATTGATTTTTCTGTGATTTTTCTAATAACAGTTACAGAAAAGGGAAACTAGTAAAATAGTGTTTATACTCAATAACACTTTGTAACATGTTGAGCAAAGTGTATAACAATGTTTAGCTACATGTAGATTGTGTTTCATGTTAGCTTCCCTTCATGAAATAAAAGTAGTTATTCATCATAAGGATTTCAATCAAATACAAATACATATGATAAACTATAATAAGTATAGTTTATGGTACATTAACATACAAACATACTAAGGAAGGTATACATATGATAAACTATACTAGGTATAGTTTATGGTACATCAACATACAAACATACTAAGGAAGGATACATATGATAAAGTATAATAGGCATAATTTATGGTACATTAACACTACGAACATACCAAGGAAGGCTTCATTCACACTACACGTAAACTCGTTGAATCTGGTTGTGAGACACTACTTCATTGTACCCTTAGAGTACTGGTTAAAGTCCTGTGCTATAACCTTAATCTCTTGTAGGGAGAGCATGATACTTGTGTGTAGATCTATATTAGGACTTACAATCCCGCACCCTAAGTTGCTTACAATAGCTAGACCGGCAGGTCTGGGGTGTCAAAACATTCTGACGCCTGAAGAACGTCGTAAGAGGCATTACTATGTCAAGTGCAAGGTTATAATAAATCACATAGGGAAACAACGACATATATAGTTTGCGAGGATTCTTACAGTCATAAGGGTTATATTCATTTAAAACTGCACTTACTCTCATAAGTATGGAAAAATACTTGTATATTTCGGTCTTGGGTGTTCAAGACTACAACTAGTTATCAGGGAAAAATTATCAGATTTTTCTTGAATACACATTTCATTTATAAAGAAAGAAGTTTTCTTTATGTACCACTACTACAATATACTATTTACACGAACAAACACTCACCCTTATTGGTCTTAGGGTAGTTAAGACTACATTTCGTCTAGAATGGTTAGATTTCTTCCATAGTTGCTACGTGTATACGGCAGGGTTATATTAAATTTAGACACGATCTACTTAGAAAAGGTTGGGTATGCCTTAGATCCTGTTCCTCGTTTGGTTGTTGGCTTAGGGCAGACCCTTTTTATTCGACGGTCTATTCGATCTTGATTGTTATATAACTTATATACATTGGGGGATTATTGAAGGAAGCTATAGGTCTTTCTAGGGTACTCAAATTTAAGACACGAAAGCTTACATACCTGGAGTAACTTTTACCGAGAGCACGCATGCATAAGGGTTGTATCGTTATAAAACTACCCTGCACCATTTTCAAGTACAAAACAACTTTAATTTCGGAAATCATGCATCCAAATGGTTTTTATACAGATTTAAAACCTACATAATATTACCACCTAAACTTACGATGACATTTATACATTTTGGTTCGAAGGGGACTAAGACTACATTCCATTTTACTAAGAAAATATAGGATTTTCTGAAGAAACTTACGAACATTTTCAAGGAACAAAGAAATTATTTTCTAAAACAAAATACTTATGAACTCACCAACATAAATGTTGACACTCTTTCAAAATTACTTGTATTCTCAGGAAACCAGTAGGCAGGTACACGCGCATGTTTTCAAGAAGACAGAGCATAATAGCTTCTAGTCTTAGTTTTTACTATATACATTTGGAAGTCATTCAAGCTATGTTTCAAATACAATATAAACAATATATTATCAATATAATGGTTGTTATTTCTTTGATTTCTACTATTTAATTGTGATGATATTGTACATGACGTCCTCCACCCCCGAACGTTTTCGCCGTCTCGGTTTGGGGGTGTGACACGTAGTGAATCTTAACCTGAAAACATACATGAAAGACTGGATAAGAAGGAGTGTTTTGTTTAAGGAAGCTCATAGCCTGGATCACATTGGTAATATGCTGGCATCATGGCTTATGAGCAACGACACAAAGTATTTGGGGCGGGGGGACTTAATATAGCCATGAGCTTCGATTAAGCGATCAAAGCAATAGAATTCCTTGAAGACAAAGAAAGATGGAAATATTGGTTTAAATGGATGGTACCTGGAGATAAAAATGAAATACGGTATGAACGAATTGCTTGGTTAAAAATTCTTGGATTACCACTTAATCTTTTGGACAAATCAAACTTTTCTGCAATGGGGAGATTCGGTAGAGTCATAAATCCTTTTGATGGCATCCGAAATTGTAGAGACTACTCAATGGGTAAAGTGGGTGTCCTCACGTCCAAGATGACTTGGATTAACGAGGAAATCACGATCATCGCTGGAGGTGAGACCATAACAGTGGGGGTTGTTGAATACACTGATGACTGGTCTCCCTTCAAACCGTTGCCTTTTGACAAAGTAGAGGAAGAGAGTGTTGATGAAGATGAAAAGGATGAAGCAATTTCTGAAACTTGAATGTAAGAGGATGAGAAGGATCTTGAAGAAGGTGAAATCTGCACATATAATAGCAATAAGGAAACTGAGTTTAGTAACAACAATGGTGGTTCAAGTAGTGTGAGAAAAGATGACACCAACAAACCTCCAACGGAGGAACCATCATATAGGTCACCAGCGTTGGACTCTCCAGGCAACATTGGCATCGACGATGGAGTTAATGCGCATAAAAGACAATTCTGAGGTACTGGCGACGATTGAAATTCCCCAAACAGAGGAGATTAGGATGTCAATTCAACCCCCGATGACGACTAATAATACGACGACACTCCTCACCCAGACCCCATTAATTGTCGACTCATATGGTGATTAGCAAGTGTTGGGCCATACTTTTGCCCCATCATACACTTCAGGTGGGCCTATACACAATAAGCTACCTCTTGGGTGTTTCGGGCCCTTCCCAAACTATGGTGGCCCAATTGTTTTAAATCCCCGATCCATGATAATAATTCTCCATCAAACGTTAAAACCAACAACAATAGTCCTAAAATTAAAAAGAGAAAGAGGAATAAATCATGTAATTTATCCCCAAATCATTCTTTTATTCCAACGGTGATCACTTTCCTTCCTCCTACTAGTTCCATCAGACCAGAGCATGCCCCCTCGATCGATCTTAATCAAAACCCATCTAATGGAACTCCTCACGGATTGGACGAGAATTGTGTGAATGACTCTATTTCAAATGAGATGGTTCATACAGTAGAAATTGGTTTCGAAGTGGGGTTTCAACTTGACAAGAACAATCTAGTTCTTGCACATGCCATGGGTGACATCTGTGGCAAAAATCTTGACTAATGAACTATCCCTCTCAAAAAGTGTGTGGCATGGGGACAAATGTTAAAATCAATTAGGTTAGGAGACTGCAGAAAACACACAAAGTCAACTTCATAGGGATTCAAGAAACTCAAATGTCAGATTTTTCTAGTATAAATGTGAATGGGTGTTGGGAATCAGACGAATTCGACTATGATGGTGTTAACTCCAATGGGCGATATGGGCGGCTCGTCTCTATTTGGAACACAAACTTTTTTCAAATAATTGAAGTAATCAAATCTCGTCACTTTCTGATTGTCATTGGGAAATGGAAAAATATTGACAGGAACACCATATTCGCCAATATCTATGGTCCACAATCGGTGACTGATAAACAAACTTTATGGGATGAACTACTCAACATCCAACAAAGTAGAAAAGGAAAATGGATCTTATTCGGTGATTTCAATGTGGTCAGATGCGATAGTGAAAGGTCCAACTCAAGCTTTTGTTCCACTAGTGCCCATGTGTTTAACACGTTCATCCTTAATGTTGGTCTTATTGATTATAACATGGATGGGAAAAAATTTACATACACGAGTCGTGTTGGTGCAAAACTCAGTAACTTAGATAGATTCCTGGGATGTTCAAACTTCTTAGCCAAGTTCCCTACTGTCTCTCCCACTACTCAGCCCCAGGAACTCTCTGATCACTGCCCGATCACACTAACATCCTATATGGATAACTTTGGTCCACCGCCTTTTAAGTTCTACAATTCTTGGTTACTTAAAGATGGACTAGATCATATTGTCCTCAATGCTTGGAAATCCTTTGATGGCTATGGCCTACCAGATGCTTACTTAGTAGCAAAATTGAAACACCTCAAAGGTGAAATAAGAAAGTAGAGGAATGAGGAGAGACGAAAAGAAAATCAGGAGGCACTTGAGCTAAAAGAGATGATCACAAAATTGGAGAAAGAGACTGAAACTAGAAGTTTAACAAAAGATGAACTCAATATCCAATGCAATGGCTTGAAAAAAATTCTTGAATTAGAGAAATTGGCGGCTTTAGATCTGAAACAAAGGTCTCATGTCAAGTGGACTATTGAAGGGGACGAAAACACAAAATTCTTTCATGGTTTCATCAACAACAAAAACCAAAAATATAGGATCAATGGCTTAAATATCAATGGTAAATGGTCTACTGGTGTAAAGAGATCAAGAAAGAGGCGTTCCGATTCTTTAAAAACAAATTTCATGAGCCATGGAGTTCTCGTCCCAAACTTATCAATCCTCAATTTCAGGCCATAACCATGATGGAGGCGATAAGGCTAGAAGCCCCAATTAGCTATGAAGAGGCCAAAAAAGTTGTTTGGGCTTACGGAAGCGAGATGACGCCTGGACCCGGCGGGTTCACCTTCAAACTCATCAAGCAATTCTGGAGCCTTATTTCACATGATGTGATGCATTTAATCTATCATTTTGAGGATCCTGGTACTCTGTCCCGAAGATGTAACTTCTTATTCATCATGTTGGCTCCTAAAACAAAAGATCCCGCCTCATTAAACAACTTTCATCCCATCGGTCTTATTGGGTGTCTCTATAAGATTATATCAAGGATCCTTGGCAATCATATCAAAACCATCATTGGGGGCATTATTGGGGATGTCCAATCCACTTACGTGGAGGGTTGTAACATCTTGGATGGTTCGTTAATTATTAACGAGGTCTATTCGTGGGCAAAGAAAATAAAAAAGAAGGCGCTGTTATTCAAAGTTGATTTTCACAAAGCCTTCGATTCAGTTAACTAGAACTATCTTGATTCAATCCTTGATCATATGGGTTTTGGCTGTAAATGGAGAGCATATATTTGAGGATGCCTCTCATCATCCAGAGCATCGATCATTGTGAATGGATGCCCTACCAAGGAATTAAATATTTTTAAAGGTGTTCGCCAAAGCGACCCCTTATCCCCATTTATGTTCATAATTGCCATGGAAGGCTTAAACGTAGCACTCAAAACAGCTGGTGAAAAGGGTATCTTCAAAGGTGTTTAACTTCCAGGTAATGGACCGATGATATCATACTTGTTTTATGTTGATGACGCGTTATTCATCGGTGAATGGTACAGATACAATCTGAAGAATGTTGCTTGTATTCGAAAGTGTTTTCACGCGTCGTCTGGACTTAAGGTGAATTTTAATAAGTCAAAGGTGTTTGGGATATGTTCCTCAACCCCTGAAACAAACAATTGGGCGAACATCCTTGGCTACGGTGTTGGTACTCTCCCTTTTACCTACTTGGGGGTCCACGTTAGTCAACATGAAGCCAATCAAAAGTTGGAAACCCATGATTCATAAATTCCATTCCAAACTGTTTAAGTGGAAGTCTAAGACACTCTCATTTGGGGTTCGGTTAACAATCATAAATTCAGTGTTAAGCAACCTTCCCACATACTATATGTCGCTATTTATTTAACCTCTGTCTCTAACCTATTCCTTTTCCTCTGTCCTTTTACAAGCAGTTAGCCTTCCTCTACAAGGAATGGAAGTGTGGTTTCCCCTTGTGGTGTTATGGAGACACTTGAAAAAATCGGCAGAAAGTTCTTTAGGGTGGTAACGAAGACAAGAACAAAATTCACTGGGTTGCGTGGGATAAAATTCTCACTCCCAAAGAAGTCAGTGGTCTAAGGGTAGGGTCCATCCGTGCTCTAAATGTGTGACTTACTGTCAAGTGGTGGTGGCGATTGAAATGAGAATGCTCATCTTTGTGGTGTCGAGTAATATCAGCTATCCATCAACTGGAAGGCAAACCTAATGATTATCTCTCTAATAAATGTTTTGCATGTGTATGGAATAATATTGTTGGTGCAAACAATGAGTTACAAAAAAGGCATTTGTACAAATGATATATTTAAGCAAGTTGTCAAATCTGGAGAAAAATACTTTTCTGGCTCGACACTTGGAGCGGGGCAGAAACACTAAAACAAAAATATCCTGGGCTATACGAATTGGAAATGAACAAAAAGTGCAACATAGCTGAAAAAAAAACAATGAAAATAATTGTGGATGGAAATCGTGTCCTTTGTAAGATGGATTGGCGAATGAGTTGGGACTATTATATAGTGACATTACTTTTATCCATCTACTTGATGGTGATGATTACTGGACGTGTATTCTCGCATCAGATGGGAAATACACGGTTGAGGTCCTAAGGAGTAAGATCAATGCACACTCCTCTGTGACACCCAACTGTACCTTATCTTGGTGCAGTGAAGTTCCTATAAGAGTATTGTGCTTCATTTGGAGAGCAACTCAAGGACGTATCCCAACTTCGACAACTCTAGTGTCTCAGGGTGTGTAGATTAGTAGTACACTATGTGGAGCATGTATAGGTGAAGAGGAGACAATTGAACATTTTCTTTCCATATGCCCGTTCGTGAGTACTATCCAGAAAAAAGTATCCAACTGGTGTGGTGTTATTGTAAGTGACACATACAATGTCCTAGACTTATTAAAATTTGTTGAGTCATGGGGTAGGTGTGTGAAGAAACGAAGGAGACTTCTAATCATCTGTTATGGTCTAATATGGGGGTTATGGAAGTTCAAGAATGACAAAATTTTCGAGCATCTCTTCACCAATCCAGCTGAAGGGGTAGAAGTCATTAAGTCATTAACTTACACGTGGATTAAGTGTAGGGGGAAAATTGGTATTTGTAGTTGGGATGAATGGAATGTCTCACCCTTTTCTCGTATGTAACGTCTTGATTTTCTGTTTTTTTTTGCTTTCTGTTTGTATGTTCTACCCTCGTCCAACTACTTGCTTGGCTTGGGCTTATTAATTCCATTAACTGTTTTAATTATATTTCTTGGTTTTGAAAATTGTATTTTACTCTTTAATTACTTCCCGATATTTGTGTTTCGTCCATGTTTATACCATTATAAAATGTTAGTATCTTATTATCTATATTCTATTTTTCACATGTAAAGTGTTTGTTTTTCTTTTTGCACCATCTTTTTACAATTTTATTATAAATAATATAATTTGTTTTTATCAAATTCCACACTTTACGTAATTTAAAAAGAAATTATCGTTTTCAAAAAAAAAAGAGATGCTTTTAGACTATTGTCATTGGTGATAAGCAACAACCTCATTGCTCCTCACCATTAAAAGTATTAAATAAAGTCAAAAATCACAAATAAAAAGATT